TATCTGAAGACATCATTGGTCACTTTTTCCCAAAAAAAAAAACCGATATAGGAGAGCTATTTTCAAGGTAGCGCGATATTTATTGTTACGTGAAGTATCTCTCCCACTGGCAGCCTTGCAGTTTGTACGAGAGCAGCTGTGAGGACCGAACACCAAATAGGGTCAAAGATGAGGAAAGCACTTTGGAAAAGGAGTTTAGAGAGAGGAGCCATTTAATGGATGCGTTGCACTTCATAATTTGCAGAGAATATTTATGTTAATTCGATACACTCAATGGTCAATGATAACAAACACCCATTACCAGTAGGAAGCTGGCTAAAGGATAAAATAATGCAAAGAAAACTGCAGAGGGGTTCAAAAACTGAAACCGTAAGCCGACTGCTTGAACAGGTTCTGTTCCCCCTTGTTCCTGCCAACGTGTGGACTGACCAGGCAAGTGCAGAAGTCGGGGACATTCTTCCTTTGTAAATGAGAACAGCATATTCGGCGACGGGGGCATTTTGCACTTTCGTTGTTTGAATAGTTTCGATCCACAAATCCCGCTTTGGTGAAACCTTTTGATTCTCGTAATCTCTTTTTCTCCCAAATGGCTCTCTAACACGCCTATGCGAACTAGAAAAGTGGAAAATGCCCCCTCCCGTCGCCGCATATTCCCGCATCTTCTGTTACCTTTCACTCGTTCAACCTAAAGGCTAAGCTAGTTGTGTTTTCAGCCTTTTTTTTCGAAGAAGATTGGCTCAGGCCGAGCTCAATTCGCCATATTTTCTACATTTCGAGGTTTACTGGATATGGGACCCAAGTTTCGGCCATTTGGCCACCTCTTTAGCAACCAATTTTTGGTACCTGTGTACAGCATTTTCGGCCACCATTCCCATTTAACGTTTTGAGAAGTACCGCAGCCTATTCGGTTGGCTGGTTGCTGACAATGTCCCCTTTAAAGGCAGTTGGCATGATGAATCTCCAAGTCGTGTAGGGCTAATATTCTTAGCAGGACTTAATTCAGTGCCCCGGAGCAAGCGCTGCGTGGTGCCGTTTCCAAGAAAGATACCGGCGACGCGACCCACCCCTATAGCGCCTTATCAAGCTGCCGGCCCGGATGCCCACTGCGCCCGCCCGCCTAGGTAGACCGTACCTGGTGCTTGTATTGCTTCACTTGCGAAGTACAATATGAGGCGAAGGGATTGGTATGGACCAGCAGCATGCTGCATCGATACTTGTGTACATACATGCATCCGTATTTACCGTAGCGGTTGTTGGCATGATGCCAACGGGGAACTCGTTCAAAATCTCTTTCTGAGTCGTACAGAACAAGGGCTATGTTCGGCAGGATTTTCAGTGACCGTTTCACTTCGTTTGCTCGCCTTTTATCACTATTTAGCACCCGTGCTACCATTGTAGGTAGCGTACCAAATTACCGTGCCAATTGCCTTTAAATCCCCAACATGCCCAGAAATTTCAATCTTACTTCAGACTGTGCGTTTCTGTTAACCTATACCTTAACCTAATCGTTGCAGAGTACCAGAAGATCGCAGTTGCGACGGCGATCGGCTTCGCTATCATGGGTTTCATTGGATTCTTCGTAAAACTTATCCATATCCCAATCAATAATATCATCGTCGGAGCGTAGAAGACTCAACGTACTATTTACTCAACAAGTTATTCACACATATGCTGTTTCAGCTATTGTTTTGCGATAGATCTTTTCTTGTTTGCCTGTGATTTTTTTGAAACTTTGAATGATTCATTGCACCTATAATGTAATAAAACATACGTAACTTTGAGGAGGTCAGTTCAGGATTGTTGGAGGTTCTCTCCAGGTTATTTCCCATAAATATTAGCACAACGCTTTCACTTGTGGATTCTGATTCCTAAATATTAGTATTTATCACGGTCGTTTATCAATATTTTTGGAGTATATAGAGTGTCCTGCTATGTGCGTCACCCAGCCCTGCGTCATGGTGAAACTGGTTGTGCTGTTCTCTGGAAAACGGAAATCTGGGAAGGATTATTGTAGCAAAAAGCTAAAGGATGCGTTATCTCCTCTACAAGTGTCTATATATGCTGTCTCACACAGTCTGAAGGCTATCTATGCTCAAGACCACGGTGTGTGCAATACTGTCACTATTTTTTTTCTTTTACTTTTCCTTTTTTCTCGAAAACAATAATGTAACCATTGTTGGGCGCGATTTAGTGACCGGGATGGGGGGGGGGCACTTTGCCCTTTCGCTGCTTCCCCGTCACGTTTATTGCTTTACAAGAGTTGACAGGTAATCTTTTCGAGAGTTGGACAGCAAAGTAGTCCATGCAAACTTTTACTGGTATCAGTTCATGGCTGCGCAAGATTTTGAAAATCTTTACTGGATAGCTCGACGCGACAGGGGGAAACAGCGGAAGTGGAAAATGGAACACTAAAAACAAACTTTATGAAACACTCAAAAGGGTCTTAGAAAGATGATTGTTGGCAATATTGCCGATAACCGCCCAGTGTTTATTAAAGGCAGTTGGCACGATAAAACG